AAGAGTGATAAATAATCCAAACATAATAAAAGCAATAGTTGGGATACTAAACGTGTAATCTACCCTTATTTTTATTGATCAAACGCCGTTGTTATTATTTCACCTAAAATAACAAAATTCCAAACCACTGCCAAAATTTTAACTTAACCATGGTTCCAAAAACACATCGAGCTATTATTTATATAAAAAAATTTAAAAATACTTTTATATAACATATTTAAAAATAATATGATAATAAATCTAACCTTTACTATTATATACATTATTAATTTATCATATAAATTATTATATAAAAATCATAAAAATTAATGATTAAATTATCGTTCGGACCAATATCGTTAAAAGTTTTAACATATATGTGATCTGTTGAATAGAAACTGGGAGGTGAACATTAAACATATATTTTAGGAAGGTAATCAGGTTGCTGACGGCATGAGCAAAAGATGGAAGATGTCATCTTTTTCGCATCACCAGCGGATATAATAAAAAATCTCCTCTAAAGGAGAAGGAGATAGTTAGAATTACTAAGTGTTAATTCATCTTGTTCACCGATGCTATGAGATAGGCGAATTTTCTCAAACATATAAGCTTTCAATCGGGTATGTTTTCCGGTCATTGGAATCTGATCGTTAGTCTAATGACACGATGCTGTGTGTTACCTCATCAGTGACCCAAATTATAATTATTTTGTAGTATTTCGTTGATCTATTGATTTTTTAAATAGATTCTAATTTTGGACACTGATAGATTGAATTCAAATTTTTCGGTTTTACTCGATGGGTATGTTGTTAATACTTCTATTAATTAGTTTTTGAATCTGAGCTGTTTTACTTTTTTATTGATTTTTCCCTTTCTTTTGGCAGAATTTTAATTGTTGCTATTGTCAATTTTGATAGTTGAGATTAAAGGTACGATTTCCATTTTTTTAATATATAATATGAAATTATCAGTACTTTTAGTTTGCTAGTGAATGATCTATTGAGCTTGTTATATAATCCTTTCAAATTTGGAATTTGGATTCAGGATTGTGTTTTTGATTAAGTTTGGCGATTGGGTAATTGGATAATTTAGTTTTTGCATCGAGGATTGATAGATAGTTTGATATTGTTGTTCGTTCCTGATGCAGCTTAAAAATGGCATCAATGGTTCTTAAAGGTTGCAGTAGTAGTCATGTATCTCCATTTATGTCGATTCAAGAAAAAGGTAGCCGGAATAAGTGAAAATTCCAGGCTGATCCGCCATTAGGTGATCACAATAAGATTATAACCTCGCCTCAAAATGGTTGTCCAAGTTATGAGTTTTGTGCTGAGAAGTTCGAAATCACCCCAGTCCATCATCAAGCTAGTGCGTGCGACATGTGTGGTGTTAGCCAAGACCATTATGACGGATTAAAACTCGACCTGAGATTGTCTAGCACATTAGTTTCTTCTGAGGTCGGGCCGAGTCAGCCTAAAGACGAACTTGAGGCAGATGAATTCCAAGATGCTGATTGGAGTGATCTCACAGAATCTCAGCTAGAGGATCTTGTTTTAAGCAATTTGGATGTGATATTCAAGAGTGCAATAAAAAAATCGTTGCTTTTGGCTACACGGATTTCTACGAAGGCAGTTTTGAGATCAGGCCTTTGTTATGGTTGTAAAGACACTGTCTCGAATATAGTGGACAATACCTTAGCATTTCTTAGAAGTGGCCAAGATTATCATCCTTCTAGAGACCACTGTTTTGAGGATCTGCAGCAGTTGGAGAAGTATATATTAACGGAACTGTTTTGTGTTCTTCGAGAAGTTCGGCCTTTCTTCAGCACTGGGGATGCTATGTGGTGCTTATTGATTTGTGATATGAATTTGTCGCATTCTTGTGCTATGGATGGTGATCCGTTGAATGGTTTTGTTGGTGATGGAGTTTCCAATGGCGTTTCTTTTGCTTCGAAGCAGCCCCAGTTGAAGCCCGAAGCCAAAACCTCTGAATTGAATCTTCCAAATCCATGTAGACTGGTTCCGCCCTTTCCTTGTTCTCATAGTTCCCCACCTGAGGTACTGTCAATCGGACCTAACAACACTGAAAAAATGAAGAATTCTGTTGTTCGGAGTGGAGTAGTCTCAGAGAAAGTTGGAACAAACTCCTTTGCTGGTGGCACGGATAAAACTTTCAGTGTGGCAGGAACATCTCAATTTTCAACAATGGAAGAAAAGTTAGTGGGCAGTAGAAAGACTCACTCTACCAAGAGAGAATATCTTCTCCGGCAGAAATCGCTTCATCTGGATAAAAACTACAAGACAAGGATCTAAAGGATCATCGAGAGCTAAGCTGAGCAGTTTGGGAGGTTTAATCTTGGACAAGAAAGTAAAATCTGTCTCTGACCCTGGTGCTTTTAATATAAAAAGTTCGTTGAAAATTAAGTCAATAGGAGCCGATGTCCCTCAAGATAATGGGAGTCATCTTGTGGTTAATTCAGGACCCTCCTCTTCCACAACATTTTGCTTAGATAATGTTAACAATATTTCTCCAGTGCCTAAGACTGATGTAGCAACTATTTCTTCCCCGGTAAACATGCCACCTGAATTTCCACCTATGAATAACCCATCTGCATTAACAACTGCTGATACTGAGCTTTCCCTTTCACTGCCTACCCAAAGCAATTCACTTGTGATGCCACCTGTTTCTTGTTCCGAGGCTGTTAATCCAAGCTATGTTGGGATGCCATTCGGTAATTCCTTGGGGGATTGGGGCCCTCAGGATAAGAAGGATGAGATGATTTTGAAACTGGTACCGCGGGTGCAAGAACTACAAAATCAGCTCCAAGAGTGGACTGAGTGGACTAATCAAAAGGTTATGCAAGCTGCTCGTCGATTAAGTAAGGACAAAGCTGAACTTAAGACTTTGAGGCAAGATTAAGAGAAGGAAGTTGAACGGCTTAAGAAAGATAAGCTGAATTTGGAGGAAAACACTAGGAAGAAGCTCATCTAGATGGATGTTGCTTTGTCCAAGGCGAGCGGGCAGGTGGAACGTTATAATGCTACTGTCTGCAGGCTTGAGGTGGAAAATGCGGCAATAAGGCAGAGTCGGCAGCTAGCTGTCAAGAGGTATCAAAGAGGGAGAAGAAAACTCTGATGAAAGTCCAGTCCTGGGAAAGGCAAAAAACCTTGTTCCAGGAAGAGCTCATGACTGAAAAATGCAAGGTCATCCAACATCTACAGGAATTACAACTGGCTAAGGTTATCCAAGAACAACTTGAGGTATGTCTTAAAGAATGTTTAATTTGGAAACATTTCTTTTTCTTTAGTCCTTTCCCAGTTTTCTCCTAGAAAACAGTAGTAATCCTTGATATATTTGATAAACTCTTACCAGTAGTTTTTACAAGTTCTGTAAAAATGACTTGGTGAGGAAGACATCCATTGCATGATGGATACTGATACGTTGTCGTGTGACATTTTTTGAATGGTTAAAAGAAGTTTCCAAACAACTCAAAGCAGAAATGTCGACCTAAAATCTTTTGTACGGGAATCTCTAGGTGTCATGTTTCGTGTAGTCTTTTTGACATTTACATCATATAAGAACATCAAAGACAATTGGTAAACTCTTCTGATATGGCTGATGGATATGGTAAACACAAGTACATGGTGCTTGTAATGGGCTAGTGAAAGGTATTGCAAACTCGGAAAAAGGAGTCCAGTTATTTTCAGTTTGCCCGCTGTATGACATACTAGAAGAGTGTCGATTGCCAAAATTTCTCCAGATTTGTATGTTAATTCTATGTTTAATTTCTTTTCTTTCTTTCCGATTTTAGTTTACATAATTTATCTGAATTTTGATGCCAAAATCTATCAGAAACTAATATTGTCTATAGCTTATCTCCCATTTAATATTAGATCTTCATGTTTGGCGGTTGTTGGAGTTGTCCTATAGCATATTCATTTCACCTTATGCTTTTGCTCACCGTTTTTCTAGTTTTTCCGATAAATATATTTTTCGGACTGTTTGTGTATATAACAATATCAATTGTATGATATCAAGCCACCACTCATATCGGTATTTTTCGGTATGCTACTAGTTTGATAAAAACCGTTGGATTGTAATTGTGGCTTATGCTATGATGACTTTGTTCTCATTGAAAATCGAAAAGCCATGGCAGGTTAAATGGCTACAGGAACAGAAGTCAGAGGAAGAAGTGCTTACTCGGGCTAGTTCGATAAGAAAGGAATGAGAGCAAAACTAAAAGAGGACATGATCAAGTCCAAAGCGGAAACCAGTTTGCAAAAGTACAAAGAGGATATTCAGAAACTTGAACAAGAAATCTCTCGATTGAGACTGAAGACGGACTCTTCAAAAATTGCTGCACTTCGAAGGGGCATTGATGGAAGCTACGTTGGAAGATTTATGGATGGCAAATATGGCACAACTGGATGGAATCTCGAACCCCTTTAATCTCAGAAGTGGTGACGGATTTCCAGGACATCTCTGGGAAAGGAGATGTGAAACGCGAACGTGAGTGCGTGATGTGCTTGTCAGAGAAGAGGTCTGGTTTTCGTCCCCTATGTGCAACAAGCTCCATGAGAAGCAAGGGATGAAAGACTGTTCTTCTTGTCGGAGTCTGATCCAGCGCCGTATTCCCGTCCGGTATGCTTGGTCTTAATTTTAATATTCAAAGTGAGTCGAGTGAGTGTTCTGAATAATGTTTATGGGAACTCTTTGAATTGAATAATGCAATTTGAGATGCACTTTTTGAGAACAGTTGAAAAGCTGCATTTACAGTGCAATATAGATGCTTCATTTCATGTTCATCCTTATTATAAAGTGGTGATAATGCGGAGCTTGGGGGTGATGGTAAGGAGTCTTTCCTATCTTAACCAATGATCCTTATTTTAATGAAATATTTTAAATTTGAGATTAAAATCTATGATTTTTGGTGTAAAAAGTTGTGCCTAATAAAGCCTCCTCTATATAATGCGTAACCATATATTGTTTGGTTGGTGAGAAAACATAAAAAAGGCATGTCAAGAAATATATTTCTTTCAAGTTAGAATTGGTGGTGTATTCCAGATTATTCTCTGTTCATCATAGCTTCCTAATACAGCAGATTGCTTTTCATCACCCAATCTATCTGCAAATTCTTCATAACATGCCATTGTATCAATGTTTTTCAATATCTGAACTACTTTCCCTTGCTCTTCATCAATCAAAATCTGCCCATCAATCGATTTGTCGCCTTCCGCAATGACTTTGATGTGCATTTCTTGCATGGTAGGTTTCAGTTTCGGATCATCTCCACCCAATAGTACAGCTCCGAGGATTTCGCCAAAGAATATATCCTGCGAAATGAAACATATTTGGTTGTTTCGATAACAATGAAGGCATTTGTTATATCTATAATCGCAATGAACATGATGAACCGGAAACTTTACCATATGGTGATAACTGTGATGAGTTTGCTTCAAAGTGTATAGCCTGGACAATAGGCGCTTCACAAACTGAGACTCGGGAGTTCTTGTCAGCTGCAGCCACTCTAAGGCTTCAGTGAACTGACCGACTTTCCGTTGAGTGCCGAGCGGAACGAGCGTGATGTTTAAGCCGGATTCAAAGACTTTTTTCGCAGCGATCGGATCGAGAAACATGTTGAATTCCGCATATTTATTGGAAGGAATAGTGAAGACATTGCCTTTGTCAAGGCTACCTCGGCTGATATGTCCTCCAACAATATACACATTCTGCAATTAGATTTGAAAAAGAAAATCACTGTTTGATTTCATATTCGACACATACTCAAACATGTATACAAGGATATGATCTCCTAAAGACTCTTCAAATATACAGAAATATCGACATATACTCGTGTTCGATGCTCGCAACTGAAGGTAAAATTCGAGTACCTGTATGAATGGTACTGTATCTGTTTGAGCTATAATCTTGGCTAAACTTGTCAACGGTCCATTTGTCAATATAGTAATTTTGGATCCATGATCCATTGTTTTCAATACTGAATTCCAAATTTCCAATGCCAAAGGTTGTCTCATTTCTGGGTGATCTGTGTCCCTTGGAGCTCCAAATTTCACTGAGTTTTCTGCTGTATACCTGCAATAAATTGTTCATCCGATTCAATCGATCGAATCGATTCAGTTAATTTAATCGATTATCAATTTTAGTATTCGGCTACCTTCTGGGACTTCGTGGTAAGTCCCGGGCTAGGCCATAAAGGGTATCCGAATCCAGAAATCCACCACTCCCATGTGGTATAGCCTTGGCATATTTACAGTCACCAACAGGGCGAAAAATATGGTCAGATTGGTTCGTTGCGAATACATCTCCGAGACCAACCGGAATGTCGTCACGTCCCATCATGTGCAGCAAATCGTAGATGATATCGATGGTCGCCGCATTGGCCCAACCTGTTGGACTCACTAATATTGCCTGGATATCCTTATGTTTACAATGTTAGTGGCCGTGATTTATTGCATACTACCATAATGACATCCGTTATGTCTGCAAAAGATGACGAAACAACTAACCTTAAGGTCGATCATTTCAACAGGCACTTTGAGGAGATAAAACAAGGCCATGAAATCTCCGGCACTCATATCCATGTCGAAAACAACTGGTTTCCCCAATGTTTCGTCTCTGAAATCCGGTTCGTAAAAGACATGTCTGAAATGAGGAAATTCTGTCGTGAGATTGAATATCGCTGTGTTTTCGGGTCGATTTAAAACCTGCACTCATTCCGGTAATGTGTACGAGTAAGTTTGCAGACAAAAAATGTAACAATTTTTGTGGGAATTTTGATTTGAAGAACTTACATCCAAAAAGTTTACGAAGAATTCTCTGTTGAGTTTGCTGGTAATGTTTTGATTGGATTTTGCATTTGTTGCAACAAGAACACGAACTGCATCTGGACCTGTTTGCTCCTCCGTGTACCCATCCTGTTTCATTATACAAAAAAAAAGAAAAAAGCAGTACATCGCATGACATTCATTATCTTCGAGTGTCATGTCATCACTTTGGATAATAGAATTTACGGGTGAAAGTTAGCAACATACATAAATGTGCTTCGATCTACGTTATGTAGACTTGAGCTCGGTTAAGTGTCGAACACAAATATATTCATAAATATTCAATTTCGATATTTTAAGAAAAATAAAAAGTTTGGATACGATTTTACCTTGCACTTCCCTTTACCATTCTCGACGAAGCAAAAGGGATCCCGAAGTCCTGTTTGAACATGGCCGCTGTGCCATCCTCCTTCCTTCAATTTAAATTTGGGAACTTGAAGTCCATCGAAGAATGAATTCGAACCGTCAGATATTCCGTAAGGCTTATTCGAAGTAACCACACTTATGTTCATGTATTCCATTTCCGCGAATTCATTCTCCCCGTTCTTCTTCTCTGAATTCCGCATAATCGACGCCGCAACACCTGACGTGAACGAATCCCACATGAAGTAGCTCTGCGGATTACATAAGGGATTACATATGATAGAATTCAAGCCTAAACTTTCCAATCGCCACCTCTTATGGGTGGTTGTACGAATCGATTGAGTTGGTGTCACTGTCCGTTACCTCGTGAGATTACTCATTTTCTCTAGCTGCATTACATCAACATCATTGAACACAACTCGATATTATTCTCTCTAGATACCGTTCCTCGAGGCTTTATCATCTAAATGTGTGTCTCCAATTAGAACTAGGGAGGTACACATTTAGATAACAAATCCTCGGGGGTCCGCTAGGTATCCAAAGAAGATAATGCAACTCGAGAAAATGATAGTATTTTTCCGGTTGACGGATCTTGATGGTAGCTAGTGGAAACACGATATCGGGAATTACCGTATAGAAATGATCATCGAACCAAGTATCGCGGGCCATTTTCAACGATTTAAAGCAATATTGTGCTTCATAAGTCCGTTGGCTCTCCTCAAACGTCTTGAAAAACTCCTCGGTTATGGGGATGGTGTTTGTTGCATCTAAAGGAATAAGGGTGACCGGGATACCTGAATGAAACACCTACGAATAGCAATCCGAGGCGAAACTCGGGTTTTGATATCATACTACGGTCTGGAAGCCTAACTTGAATATAAATTCCTAGGCAAGTCGGGATCTAAACAGTACCTGATATGCCGCAAAAGGATCTCCGAAGATATTGAACTCGGCATAAGGATTAGTGTTGTAATCCGTGAAAAGATTTCCGGGGTCGTCGCACTGGCTAGGCTGGCAAGGGGAGGTGCCATTATGGGAGCAACATCCCGTGGGGTTCTTGGACCTTATTCCACCACCCATCACATATATGTGCTCGATATTTCGCTTTAGATGCGGATTACTCATAAGAAAAACAGCGAAATTCGTGTGGACTCCGATCAAGAATACAGTAATGGGACCAGCCGATGTTTTTTCGATCATCACTTGCTGAACCGTTGGCTGTTGAAGAGGAGAATATCTCCTACTCCCCTGATTCCATGAGTGAAATAAAACCATAACCTCTAAATATCTAAAATCAAACATATCTTATATTCGTATCCGAATATGCATACGAATGATTTGTACCTGCGGAAGGAATGCTTTCCGAAGGCCATAGTTAGTGTCAACATCTAATCGTCCTCCGAGGCCTACCGGAATCGCTTGCCGATACCTACAACCCCCGGCCGTTGACATCCCCTGATTTAAGTAAATTACAAACAAAGATTCCAAGCCTGAAATTTTCAGCATCCATCATATTCACAATCGAGATAAATATGACACAATTGAAAACGGATGGATGCGTAGTAATCCGAAAAGATTTACCTGTTCGATTATCGGAAGATATCCGCCAACATTCGGTAAAATGGTACCATCTTCGAGGATTCCACCTTCTCCTCCGACACCAACGGCTATGTCATCACGACCCATCATGTAAAGCATGTCGTAAACTTGATTCACCGCATGCCCGACATCAATCCATCCATTGGCGTTTATAGTGATTGCCTACATCGGAATCATAATTACGAGGTCAGCCGTAACACGATATTACAGTTTATCGTCACTTCAATAACGTAACAACATCGATAACACCGCGCCACAACCACAGTTTAAATCCTACGTACTCTGTCCAACTTGAACGATTTTACATCAAAGAAAACAAGAATGCAGAAAAAGGAGTTCACCTCCAACTCGAATTCCGATTTGTTAAGCTTCAAGAGGTACAACAGAGCGAAGAAATCATCGGTATCGACGTCGGTATCCAACAGAATCCGATGAGGTTTGGCCGGAACAGCATAAACCTTTGCTCCGAAAGCATCAACGATAATAACTATTATAACTATCCAAAAACTTGTAAGCCAAAGCATTCTTCCTCGACCGAAAAGAAAACTGTCACATCAACTTAACGACAAAGAACAAGGAAGAAAGATCAGTAAGACTGAACTATGGAAGCATGTGATTTTACAGTTTCAGACGAAGGAGATGAAGCTATGTCTTCACCAACAGTGCTGGATCAGATTCTTACTACTTCGATGTACAAGGGAAAATAAATGTTAATGATTCTTTCTCTGAACTTTAACAGAATAGTAATAGATATCTATTTAATTAGTTTATTCATTTACTTAATTTTGGTCTCTCATAATAAATATTAATAAACTACAGTTATAGATAGATTGTGATTGAATTATGATAATGTAAATTATCAATTCACCAACGATCCATCATTATTGTATACGTTTTTATGTAACTATTAGCACATGTAAGTTATTGATTTGTACACTTCCATAATATTAGAACAAATTTCTAATTTATATGATTAATTTACTTTTATATATATAAATATATATTCTCGTTGTAATTTTAGGTATTTTCTATTTATTTAATAAAATTAACACTTATTATTAGTTTATGTATTAAGAATTGTGGGCAAAAATATAATCAGTATAAATTAATTATATTATGAACAAAAACATTTAACGTGATTCAATTTTTTTTTTTACTAAATCGTAACTTTTTGATGAATTTACAAATTGACCCTCATTCCACTGTTAGTTTATCACCATAAAATTTACAAATTAACTCTTTGAAGCCAAACAAAGAAAGACCAGTGATTTAGGCAAAGGTATGAACTTCTTGGATTAAATTATTATAAAGTAAAATCGGATTAAAGGAATATGATTTTCATTGATCGATTCTGTCGTCCAATTTGCTATCAAAAAATCAAACACTTTCTTTTACATGGATATTGAATTTGTCACTTTCTTGTAATAAAAATAATAAAAAATTATCTTATTTGATTTTTTTTATTAATTTAAGACGATTACAAGTGTATTATTTATTTTAAAGATTCACAATCATTTGACAATGAGTGTTCAAATACCCTATGCAATTATTGGTGTTAGAACCTGAGATCTCTAGAGATAACAATAACTCATTTAATCATTAATTACTAAAGTAACTTGATTCGTTATGATATGATGATTTTAAATATATATTAACCGATATTATTGAATATTGATATCTCATCCTAAAACTCGATTGATATTATTATTATTATTATTATAATATCTTAAAGTTCAGTTATCATTGTTGTTATTAAAATATTATGTAAATTGTATTTTTTTTATAATTTAAATTGATTACAAAGTAATATATGTTCAAATTATTTCTTAATTATTGATAATACATACACACTATAAATATAAGTGCCTGAAACTGAAATTTTTAAGGAGAATAATATATTTTTTTATCATTGATTCAACGGAATTCTGTAAATTATATTCAGATGTGTTTAAACGCATTAATGATTCGTATTTTTTAGATTATAACTAATACTAAAAATTTTGGAATTTTTATTTTCATTTTAAAATAATGAATATTTTCATTTTATTTTTCGGAATAAAAAAAGCCTAATTGAATCGACAAAGAAGAAAGAGAAAATAAAAAGCGATTTGTCTGAGAAAGTGCGTAACGTTAAATGATTCGTAGACTTTGATGATAGAAGTTAATTTTATTGGTTCACGTAATTGTAATAATTTAAACAAAATCATTCCATTTTCAGCTCATCACTAACCTATATTACTTTTGCTTTTCAGTTTTGACGGTTGGAGCTGCACTTCTTTTATTTTCATTAATATTTAAAAATATTTATAAAATAATAATGAGTAAGGCTTAGTAGCCTATGGAACTCTTTTTTTTATCTAATTTAATTTTTTTAATTTTGAATTTGAGCAGTTGTGTTTACAAAATGTGTGTACATTGTCAATGACTAAAAAAAGAATATAAACATATTATCTTATAATCACTTCAGACTATTCAGAGAAAATGAATGTCAAATTTGAATCTCACGTATTCTCAAACCCTAAATTTTGATAAAAATTAATAAATATTTTGTAATAGTTCAATAAATTTTATGATAATTTTACAATTTTTAAAAGTTCAAGGACTAAAATGATTATTCGAACATAACTTGTAACCTTTGGTGTATTTACCCAAATCAATTGTGGTTTCCATTTCACCATATTGCAAGGAGCATCCCACTGAATGAGAATTGGCTTTACAGGTGGAGCTCCAAAAGTGCGTGCTTATATACGTGTAAAGGAGTCAGATATCTTCATTTTCTTCTATTAATATTTTAATAATTTAATTATAATATTTAATGCTCTATTCAAATATATTATGTATATTAAATATTGAATAAAACTAAAATGTTTAAATATTTGTTTAATATAAAAAAAATTGACTGTGAAATACTCGATAGAGATCATATTATGATACATAAAATTAGAATGCAAAATTAAAAAAGATAACTAGAAAATTTTATAGATTGTTGCTTTAAAGATTTGTGTTTTATGAAAGGAGCTGTGCTTTTACCACCAATCTTTTCTTTTTGGTCAACTGTCACTTTTTTATTCTTAATTATGATGCCTTAGGGCACACGTATTTTGTTTATGGGGACATAATCCATTATTAAACTTTTTTATATAGTCAAATGTATCTGATTTATTATCGATTAATTTAGATCATATATTATAAAAACATATTATAAGAATGATTTTTTATAATTATACTTTAAAACATCAAAATTAATTAATATTACTTAATATAGTATCGTTTTAATAAATATATATTAATCGAATCTAAAAAAACTCGCATGAGGACAAAATACATCCCCACACACACATATATTATTATTTTCAAACTTAGCTCATTAATCCTCAAATTACTATTTTAAAATTCATTTTTGTAATTAAATTTAAATATTTTTAATAATAAATAATAATCCTAGTTGTGTCTTTAAACAAGACTTTTAATCTTGTGGTCGTGGGATCGTGTCTCACGGTGGGCAATTCATAATTCTGACTGCCGGAGGTCTCCCACGGAAGCTGCTCTCAACCTGGCGTTGGGGTAGTCTACTATCCTACCTCCCCCTTACCCCATTACATATGAGAATAGGGTCAGCTAAAAAAATGCTAGACTTGTCTACTGATAAGGCCGATGACAGAATTGGACTCGGTTCAATCGGACCCAAATTAAAATTGATAATAAAAATATATTATTTAATTTAAATTTTATTATAAAAATTTAATAATAATTTACAAACAATTTATTATTTGTTAATATTAGAATATTGAATAAACTATTGAACCAAGTTGTAATGAGTCTCTATAATATTTAATTATTTTATATAAAATAATTAAAATCATAATATTAATCATTTTTATAATAAATCTCTACAATATTTAATTTACATTAGTTGTTTCTATCAGCTAATTTTTTTTCTATCATGTATTTTTGCATTATTTATCTAAATTAATTACTCTCGTAACAAAATTGTACTGTATTAGATTTAGATTAATTTGTTAATAAATTTGGTACGGATAAAGATATGATAATATCATAGGATTAAATTTCTTCCTATGTTAATAACACAAATTTCGCTTGTAAAAAGGGAAATGCAAACAAGGATCGACAAATAATCGATTAATCTTTCCATATTCAACGATCATGTAATGATTCAATGAAAAATATTCAGAAATAAATTTACTGATAATCTATGATATGCTTTTAGTTTTGGAAATTGTTGAATCTTTTTAGATCAATCATCTGCTATTTAGCAACAATGGAGAAATCGATGGCATGAATTTCTGTCGCTTCAAGGCTATAAATTTCTTGTTATTTTGATTAATTCTTTATCAAAAACTTAAAACAATTGAAAACATAATGAAGTCAGTTTTGATAGCCAATTTAGTACTTGCTCTCGTTGCTCTTCAAGTCCATGGATTTGTTCCATTTGATTTTGAATCTGAATTTCCTCAGGATTCTGTAGCTTCCGAATTTTATTATGATCCTGAGTATTTTTCTGAACCAAATCTTGAAAAACCTTTGTTTTTAGATTCTGGATTTACTCAGGATTCCCTAGAAACTCAAAATTTTCCCGAGAAAACTTATCAGTCTTTGGAATATGGATCTGAATATCCCATTGAATCTTTTGAAACCGAACAGGTTCCTTACGAAACATATGCACGCCATAAAATCAAATCTCCTTTACCATCGCCATCGTATTCACCATCTCCATCTCCATCAGAAGTGCCATCTCCATCGCCATCGTATTCATCATCCCCGACTCCATCTCCATCAGAAGTACCATCTCCATCGCCATCAGTAGCACCTTCACCATCTCCATCGCCATCAGTAGCACCTTCACCATCTCCATCAATTCCAGAAAGCACTTGTAAATACAAGTGTTCGATGAAATGCCACAAAGTAAAGTTCCCTCTTCTTCGCGAGTTATGCAACCACATCTGCAAGACGAAATGTTTACTCCGTTTCACGGAGCTGATCTATAAATGTACTAGTCTCTGCGCAGATTCCATGCCCGGCATCTTCAAATCTGGTAAAGTAACATTCTTAATTTGTTATAATGTCATATTTCATTTACATTTATTTTTTTCACGAGAATTGTTTTCTTTGTTTTTTCTTGTTTTCGCAGATAAGAAGAAAGCAGCCGGTTACGTCGAATATTGCTTCAAAAAGTGTTCCAAAAAATTCTATACTTTACCAATTTGATGTTTTTAATTTATCTATAAAAGTGTGAATTTTTTGTTAATATATAAAATAAAATCTCGTATAATTATTTTTACCAGTATTTCTTGATATATATGATTATTCACTGTTTGGTATAAAATGAAAATACAAGTAATGATAATAAGAAATAATAAAAATAATTTGATTGTTATATATGATCATTCACTGTTTGGAAATAAACTTTTCTGAACGAGTGTAAAAATATGATTGTTATATTATAATGATTCTCTGAGAACATCGTTACGAGCTAGGAAGTTCTTCATTCAATACGTATCCCTAAAGGCAAGCAGGATTGAATGTCGATCAATGTAAACCTTGTGGAAATTTTTACTTATATTCGATGGGACTTCATCTATGATACTTTGTTGATTCTCTATGTTAAGGCAAATTTTTGTGCATGCGGGTATTATTGAGATAGTTCTCTCCCAATTTGGTTATTTCTCAGGTTATGAAGTTAGCAAGATGAAGACTTAGATGTATTTCTCCTAGAATACTCATTAGCACCACCATTAATGGCTTTCAGGAAGTTGAGTCCATGGGGAAGTACTTCGGTGTTCCGGTCCTCCATGGTAGGGCGAGCTATTGGGTGAAATACTACGATAGTTACAAGATCAAGTGTAGTCTCATGACGGGCTGTGGACAAGCACCTATCAGTGGAGCAAACATGGTTGAAGCCTTTGCCTAGATGATTTTCCTTAAATACGGTTGGGGGAGTAGCACCTATTAGTGGAGTTAGATCGATTAGGGGTGTGACCCTTGACTCGTACTGTGTATGGATGGTTAGTTTTAACAAGAACATTGTGTCAAGTTCAATCTTGTAAGCCGAACTTAGGGACATATACGAGGGACTACTCATTGCATGGAACTATTGGAGTATGTGCCTCTTGATTCAGACTGATTGTGCCCAAGTGTTCTTAAAAATGTAATTTAAAATTTAATTGTTTAGGATTACTATTAAAAAATAATTTTAGAAAAATAAAATGTCAATTTTAGTTATTATATTATAAATTCAAAATATAGTATTTGAAGATAAAAATATAATTTCACTTCAAAAATGGTAATTAAAAATTCGAGTTTTTGAAGTTAGGTTGAAAATAATTTTTTTAACCATGCTTTTAAATCAACTTTTGAACGTTTAGCATTGCCTATGGAGTGGGATATCATTTTTTTCATTGCCAAAAATATTAAAATTTAATGATTTTAAGATGATAGTTTATCTATGTTTTTAAGATGTTTTTATAGTCTATATTATTTATTTTATGTGTTACATTTATAAATTAATCATAATATTAGTCATTTTCATAATGAATTCTTATAATATTCGGTTTATATTAATTACTTTCCTAATAAGATTTTGTGCATTCAATCTAAATTAATCGATTAATAAATTGAATACTAATAATTAAAAAAATCATACGATTGAACTTCTTTCTATATTAACAAATCACAATTTTTCTTGTTTTAAAAAAAAATAACACAAGGAAGCAACCAAGGATTGACAAATAATAGATTTATATTTCCATATCCAACGATCATGTAAAGAGTCAATGAAAAATATTCAGAAATAAATTTACTGATGATCTATGATATGATTTTACTTTGGAAATTGTTGAATCTTTTTAAATCAATCATCTGCTAATTAGCAACTATAGAGAAATCAATGGCATGAATTTCAGTCGACTCAAGACTATAAATTTCCTGTGTTTTTGATTAATTTTTCATCAGAAAACTAAAATATTTTGAAAACAATGATGAAGTCAGTTCTGATAGCCTATTTAGTACCTGTATTGCTTCTTCTTGTTGCTTTTCAAGCCATGGATTTGTCCCATTTAATTTTGAATCTGAATTTCTTCAGGATTCTACAGCTTCCGAATTTTCTTATGAACCTGAGTATTTTTCTGAACCAAATCTTGAAAAACCTTTGTTTTTACAATCTGGATTTACTCTGGATTCCCCAAAAACTCGAAATTTTCCCGACTCAAATGATGAAATAACTTCTCTGTCTTCAGAATCTGGAAGTGTTCCTCAAGATTCACTAGAAATTCAAAATTTTCCTTAGAAAACTTGCCAGTTTTCATAATATGGATCTGAATATTCCATTGAATCTTTTGAAATTGAACAGGTTCCTTACAAAATAGATGCACGTCATAAAATCAAATCGCCTGCACCATGTCCTTCACCAACGCCATCATATTCACTATCACCGTCGCCATTGTATTCCCCATCACCGTCACCATCACTGTCGCTATCAATTCCAGAAAACACTTGTAAATACAAGTGTTCGATGAAATGTCACAAAGTAAAATTCTCTCTTCTTCGCGACCCATGTCTGCAAGACTAAATGTTTACTCCGTTACTCGGAGCTGATTTACAAATGTGCTAGGCTCTGCGTAGATCCATGCCCAGAATCTTCAAATCTGGTAAACTGACTCTTGTGTTCCAGTATCAAATTTCATTTACATTGGATTTTTATGAGATCTGTTTTCTTTTTTTCTTTCTTACAGATAAGAAGAAAGCAGCCGAATACGTTGATTACTGCTACAAAATGTGTTCCAAAAAATTTTACACTTTACTTTTTAATTTATCTTTAAATGTGTGATTTTTTTTTGTTAAAATATAAAATAAAATCTTATATTTGTGTTCTTATTTATACACTATAAAAATAGTTAAAATATATGTTAATAATGATAATAAAAAATAATAAAAATAAAAATATTATAATTATTTTATCATGAATGGAAGTGAACTTTTTAAGAGAAATAGATACAAAAAAGTCCAACAAACATGAAAATTTATGGCACTGAGTCCTTCAAAAATAAAAATCCAACAGTTAGCTATTAGATCAATAATTTATAATAAAATTAAACAAAAATTTGAAAATAAATAAATAAAAGACAACACAAAAATTTAATTTTACAAAAATATAAGCTAAGTTTTAAAATTTAAATTAGTTACATATATTTAACCATTTAAATTAAACCTTATCTTAGATTATGATTTCTGGAAAAAAAATAAGATTTTTGTCTAATTTAATTAACTTCTACAATTTAAGCTATTTATGATTCTTGACATAATGATAAATTTAAAACAACAAAATTATTGATTAAAACATTAATCTTTTAATGATTTTGAGATGATAATCTGTATATATCTCATGTTAACATGCATTATATGTATTATATCATATTTATAAATCATTTGAAATTATTGAAAAAAACCTAAAAGAAAAATATGCATTGATTGTCATACGAGATATGAGGTCAACCGTTTCAAAAAATTTAACTTTAAATTAATATTTTTATTAGAAAATGATTATTTTGTAAAAGATTTGAAGTTATTTTTGACTTTTAATAGAGTTAAATTCAACTAAATGAATAAAGGACCAAAGTAAAAAAATGTGTAAATATAAGAACTAAATTTACCATCATGTAATGATTAAGGGGCAATTGTTTTACATTTTATTTCCGAGAACATTGAGTAAATTTCAAGATATAATACAGGGAAGCACAAACGCCTAAAATAGCTAAACAATGTTCAAATTCAAGACTTACAATGCATATATGAAAAGGTACCTCGCCGATACTACATGTCACAACCTTAAAATTGTCATCTTGTGACTTACAAACTTCGGATTCCCAAATTCGTCGGATGCACTTGTCGACAATGTTACTCGAACACCTCTTTCGATGCGATCCTCTGAATATAGATGAAAAATCTTAGGGAAAGGAATTTCAGGAATTAACATCAGAACCAAGGAAGCAGAGCACAAACACATGCTGAAAGCCTGATTTTATCAAACCTAACATGCATTCAATCATTTACAAATGAGATTGGTAGCACTCCGTTTCGTTCGAGACCTTGCAGATTTTAGAGCTTATTCAACACCTACGACCTGTCGACAAACATCTTCGTATTGTTACTGCAAACTCACCGACCCTGTTAGGGTGAAACAAGACTGCACAGATCCCTAAGCAAATAGCAGCAGTAGCAAATACAAATATAGCCGGATAAGATCTCAAGGTTGTGGTGGCGAATATGGGACTACATGATTTTCTCGGGAACTCTTTATCAAGATTCACATTCAAGATAACTTCTTTGTTTAACAGCGGAACGGCCTCGCTTTCAGTCAAAGTAGTCGATGCCATCATTGTTCGGAATTTATCACTAGTTATTTCTTCCAAATCCTGCAAATAGAACATCGATATAAGTACCAAAACATGTTCTATATGTACAGTTATATAAATGATATCAGAGGTTTTCAAAACCTCTCATACTCTCATCAATGGTATTGTTCTAAATGAATCATATTAATTACTCGGTAACCAATAAGACAAAGCTTTGCATTCCGTGCATTCAAAAATCAAATTTTGCATGGCAAACACTGTCAGAAATTTCTCAAGATACATAGATACGTAAAATACGATGATGCTACACGATATATCCCAATATTGAATCATAATAGAAGTTGAACATGGCTTTCGAACAAGATGCTTCAAGAAAAACGAAAAGTAACATAAAAGCTTTTCGGCGGACTATGGATATAACATGGAACATATAAAAGCCTTGTACTTTATTTAGAAGCAAGAAAATAACATTGGTGTATTCAACAAAATTTTCAATCCTCACCTGAGAACCATTAGGAACAATAGATAGGCCATCATGTGTGAAGCTGCTTCGAGAAAACCATTTTCCTTCTCGTTCTATGTACTCTGAAATAAGTACTGGCCTTTCACCTTTTTGAAGTTTGCTATCAAGGATATCTCTAGCATAATCCATATATTTCCGTAGTAACGTTATATCAGCATTGTTGGTTCCACTAAACCCAGGCTTGTCCACCAAAACCATCAGATTTTGTAATACTTTCTTCAAAATGACTGTTGATTCGATTTGTATGAGAAAGCTCAATAAACAATTGAATCTTTGAATTTGAGAAGAGGCCATAGTTTCTTGAAAAATCTCAGGTTCAGGCTCTCTCAATAACCATGCTATATCTAAAACAAGTTCAGAATACGCTTTTTGTTGTGAAGTTGATGTTTCACATGACGAAACATTGCAAGAAATCTTTGATCCTCCCCGAAAAAGAGAGGCATCAAACTTCTGTTGTATTGCCTTCATCTCAGAACAAACCTCCTTGTCCGCAATTAGGACAGGAATAAAATTTGATAATCCAGACTGATTCTCAACCTATGAAGAAATCCATAATTGGAAGGAAAGAAAAAGCCACAATAAGTTAACTCAATTTATTAAACATATTATGTCAAAACCACATTCAAAGCGATATTAATTTGTTAGTCTGCAAACCATTTAACAAGATTGACAAGCATGGGTTGTAAAGTGTAATGCTTAGTCGATACTCTATTTGAGAAGAGATAACAACCGAAACATTTAGATAGAACTTTCACAGTACCTACCTCAATGAATACAGGACCAAAGAGATCTGGTTCAGTTTGAGGGACGTATATTTTGAATAATTGATGATCACAACTAAGAGAATCCTCTTTACCGTGGACATGTGTGGATGCAACACAATAATCATCCAGCAGATACCTTCCAGCAAAAGATACTAGAAACCTGGGATAATTATCATCTTTCTTAAGCATTAAAATAATAACAGTTGACCATTCTGGCACAATGCATAAGAAGAGTTGTACGAAAAGAATATAGGTCCAAAAAGGCTTTCATGTCCCCCCACCCCATATATATATATATATATATATATATATAATATAACAAAGGTAATATCTGTACCGAAATTTGGGCTGTAGCAAATTACTTCCGCAAGCAACAAACTCCATTGGCTTGCCCGCCTCAAAACATGAAGGATGGACATAATGAAGTCTAGGGGCCTGCACCTCCACATCAATTTTCACCAAAGTAGTTCCACCTACACACAAAAGAGATCTTAATCACACTTTGAGTGCCAGGAGGACTAACTATATCACATGCAGTCAGCTAAAAGCCTGAAGAATTTAAACCAGGAAGAAGGCACAGTGGAACAAATATGAAATCAGGCCTAGTCAATTGTAAAGAATCTTAAATCCTGCAACTAGCATACAGGTTAATTGAGGGCAAAGACCACACATGAGGATAAAATTAACCAACTCTAAATTACCTTCCAGAAAATTTAATCATCCACTTAAAGGCTTTTCAAAGGGAAGTATCAAATTTTAAAATAAAGTGGAAATCATGTGTAAAATTGTTAGTGAAATTAACATTTTTTCTTACCTTTCCTGGTACGGAAAATCATGTCGTTAAGATGAATAGTCATGAAGCCTCTCCCATATAGCATCCTTCCAGGTGTAAAGACAAAGTCATGCATGTAGGTCATTGGATTTTCAGATAACTGTTTGAAAGAGAAAATGAGGTTAATTTCCTATGAAACATGCCAAAACCATGAAAGAGAAGGAGAAAACTGCAAGTGGAAGAAGATATTCTTTTATGAAATAAATTAATCAAAATGTTTGCCTGAATTGACATTGACTATTTACATCTAACAAAATACAAGCCTGGACATAAAAAGTTAGAGTACGGGACATATTTCTTAAATGTCTATAAAGTAGATTTTCATGAAGTTGTTTTCTGCTTCACATCCACAGTAAGCATCGAATTTTCACCATTACAACAAATTGCATTCTTATATACTTTATAAGTTATCAGTGCATATACCATATACAAAATAATCATTATTGCTGATAAATAAATGCAGGTTACAAATATAGATTAAAAACTCAAGACTACTAGAAACCATGTTCTTAAGGAAATGTAAGTAAAACATTTTTTTGTCTAATGTTATTGGCTTCAAAATCAACTATTGATATGTGTGAGGACAAGTCTGCATAGTCAATATTATGACCTGATATAAGCTAAAATGATATTACATAAAAGCCATCTGATTGAACCATTACCTTTATCCACATATTCTTTGGCATTGAAATAAACACAGTCAAGATTGTGCAACCAGGGCGGATGTAGCCTTCCAACTCAACAGGCATATTGGCCAACCATTGAAAAATCTGCAAATTAGTTAACCACATGTCAATCAATTCCTCAGATCTCCAGCCATGAAGATGACTCTATTTATTGAAATACTAAACTGTAAGATAATTCTTTAAAATACTTGGTGCCGAAGTCTTCGTGGGAATTCTGCCGGATTCCAATCATAAAGCTTGAATGAGATCCTGCCTGTAGGGCACTATAATGAAACACAAAATCAATATATAATCATATGCATATTACTGGCAAGCTTCCTCCTATGAATAAAACAGAATATACAGCACAGCTAACTTGAACAATCAAAGAACCCACCATGGATGAGTAAGCAGTCTTATTGTCACAGTAAGAAGTAGAAATGGGAAACTTGGAGTTCTCTTTCCCTGCATCCATTTCAGGGTCAACAAAAGATACAACGCTATCATTATTAACACTCTGCACCATGGGAGCAGAGCAATGAGCAGAAACAAGCCCATCTTCAGACTCAAAGGTATGTTCTTCTTCAGCTATCTGGCCACTCAAGCTTAAATCATCTGTATATCACAAATAACAAATTATTTTCAACAAGGAAAACTTACAGGTCCTACAAGAAAGAATCATTCAATCCATAACAAGCTGCCTTAAATCAATTTATAGAACCTTTTCCTGCTTCACCATCACAAGCAATATATTGACTTTGCACCGCCCCTGGAGATTCTCTGTTCAGTGCAGTCCTAGAATCAGCAGGCTTCCTTCGCCGTCTATTGTTGTGACGCTCTAGTTTCCTTCGACAACTCCTTTTTCCTTCATCAAAATCCTTCAACAGGTGAAACCTGGCAAGTAATTTATAGGTAAAACAAACAATTTTATACAATAATCTCCACCCCCCAACAAAAAAAAAAACCTTCTAGTTCTATAGTCATCCATTGACCTAAAACAATAATGCAATGGTTGGGAACATGAATTTGAAGACTTGGATTTGGAATTCATTTACTATAATAAATTGTGAGAAAGATATGCATGCATTATGCATTAATTAGGATTCAATATCATTAAATTTTTTAAAGGTAAACATGAATTTCAGAATCCAAAATGTCTATAAGAATTTCAAATTCACTACTATATAGGCATCCAACAAATCCGTGGTTTTAAAATATAATCATGAATGGTACACATATACGTGTTTTTTCACACAACTAATACTATTTTTGAAGTCCAATCCAAGTTCCCAAATACCACCTTATTACAAACTGCAAATTCCGGTGAATTCAGAGAGACAAGAAATTGAATTACAACTTCATGGCTACATTCAATTGTTATGTGTTCAATTTATTTTTGCTAAAACTAAAATGTAACTGCAACAATAAAGCATAATTCATAAAGCATAACCAAAGAAACTTAAGTATAGCCTAAAAAAGAAAGCAAAGCTTACTTGCCACACTGTTGGCAATATCTCTTGGTTTCACCATCGATCAAAACGGTGCTCGAGTTCGCACACTGGAGACAAACTCTGTGCCTCCTATGGTAACCTTTAAGTTCCGTAATATCCGCCCCGCAACCCGGAACTTGGCACCGAAACGTCCCTGACCCGACACGTCCAGTTCGGGCTCGCTTCTTTCCCGGCACCCCCGCCTCTTCTTCTTCAAGCTTCTCCATTTGCGCGTCGATCTCGGGGCAGGCACACGGAATCAGACCAGCTAGAAAATTCGTACAAGTCATCCTCGGGTCCCGCTTCCTCACACGATCGGGTCCAGGAACTGGACTCGGACCATGAGCTGGAGCTGGAGCTGGAGCTGAATGTTCTGATGGAGGAGGAGATATGTTTTGGTCGTCAAAGGCGATAGAGAAGTGATCTTCTACGGTGAGGTCCAGGAGATCGTCCCAGTCCCAAACGGAGGAAGCCGGGTCGGCTTCGGTCGCCGGAAGATACACATCCATTTCGGGATCCTTAGACCGGTGAGCGACACGTGGCTTATTGTTGGGAGGAGATGCAGGTGGTTCCATTACAACAGAAACCCTAAAAATCAAGATGATTAGGTTCGGTTGGTGGTTCGATTAGTTGACGGAGAAGCTACGATATAAACGGAAAGGTCAAGTCCTTGTTATTTTAACGTTTTTATTATATATTTTTATTACAAAGAATGATTGCTATATATTTTGATATTTGAATCTGACTTTAAAGGTTATTTGATATTTGTTTTAATCCAATTAGGATTTTTAGGTTTAAATTGTTACATAAACTTAGTTTTTAAATTAAATTAATACCTACACTTTAGGAGTGTACCTACATTTTAGGTATTTTATTCATAAAAAATTAGACACTCACATTTTTATATCACGATTTACCGGTTCATAGTTATGTTTTATTTCTTCAAATTATATTATTCTTAGAAAAATTCACATGAAAAAAACTTCAAAGTTTATAAGTTAATTGAATAATGAAATTATCATTTTAAAAGGGTAAATTGCAATTTTCATTGCTGAACTTTACTGTTTTGCTCACTGAACTTTAAAAGTTTTCAATTTTCTCCTTGAACTTAATACATTGAGTTTTTTTGTCACTTGTCGTTAAATAGTTAACGGCGTTAACATGACATTATTTTAAAAAATTACCAAAACGAAGTCGTTTTACATCTATATAACAACACATTTATAATGTCGTTAATGAGAAAACGGCTGAGTAACAAAAAAACTCAATGCATTAATTTTAATGATAAAATTCAAAAGATTTAAAATACAGTGAGTAAAATAAGAGAAAAAGTAAAATTCAGTTATCAAATTTGTAATTTAGGTTTTAAAAAAAATCTTCTATAATCACACTAATATTTTTTTAAATACAACTATATTATATTCATTAGCTAAATAAAATAGCATCAATAATGTCTTGCCATATACATGCGAGACAAACACATTTATAACTATCATAAACAAAATATAACAATGAGAGATCAATGATAGTCTGATGAGCAAGAGCTTAAATAGTTGAGGCAACGACATACAAAGACAAAACACTTTGACATATCTTACAATCATCATAATGCAACATACAAACGAACGAAGAAACCACACATCTGAAAATCAAGTAACCAAAAAATTTCGTAGAACTACAAATCAAGAAGAAAACCAATAGAAGAAGCCTGGACCGAGAGTCTAAAAGTATCGATAGCCATGAACCCTTTATCAGATAAAAGATCAAGAGAACACATTATTATAAAATATGATAAAATATGACAAAAATTAAGAAAATCAAACTATAATTAATGGGAAAATAATAAAAAGAAGAAAAGAAATGGCAGGAAAGTGGCCGGAAAAGTCATTGTCACTATCCTGATACGTTTGGTTTACGGAATATAAGATTATCAGTGGGAATAAAATATTACCAGGGAATAGGATTACTCGGAATGTTGTTTTTGTGTTTGATTGGTTTAGCAAGAATGTAAGATTACCGTGTTTGGTTAAAATAATAAAAGATTATTGGAATGTATATTTGATCAAATTGTCCTTATTATATATATTTTTTAACAAGTTGAATTCTACTATAATATTACTATAAGATATTTATATATTTTCTTTGAAAATTTTAAATTCATAAAATTTATATAATTTTTTACAAAATTAAAAATATAAAAAGATTTAATGAAAGGGTAAAATTTTATTTTAACCCATGAACTTCATATAAAATTTTAATTATAGATTTTTTTTGTAAATCTGAAATAATTTAAGGATAAATTTGTAATTTAACATTTATAGAATTTTTATTATTAAATGACAGAATAAAGATATTTTTGAAAGGAAATTTTTTAAGGGCATTTTAGTCCAAAATGTCGGTAATCCAACAATACATAAGGAAAGGGAGGTAATAACATTCCCGATAATATACTCTAAAAATTCACTATTGGTAATGTAATATTACCGGAAATGACATTCCCGGCCAACAAAACGGAAGAATGTGTTATTTCATTACCATGAGAATCTCACATTCCCCAACCAAACACACTAATGCAAAGTAATATTATAACTGGAGAAAATAATCTCATTGACCAAAAATGCCTTATAATATACGATTTTAATCAACTTTTTTTGGATTTGCCAAAATGACCAACTAAATCGCAATGCGATCGATAATTTGTAACGCGATCTCCGGTATCCTAAATCAGTTTCCAGATTCGCAACGCGAACTTCGACTATCGCAATGCGAACTTCGACTATCGCATTGCGATTTACATATTCGCATTGCGACAATCGACTATCGCATTGCGATTTACATATTCGCAATACCGTCGTTGCGATTTATTCCAAGTTCGTTGCGATATATTCCAAGTTCGTTGCGATAGTCCAAAATCGCAACGACGGTATTGCATTTGTTTCTTAAGAATTTTCTCTAAAAAGATAGTATTCGCGCGGACGTGTCGAAGACACGTATTACCACGACCACGACCCGAGACGAGACGGACGGCGGCGGCGGCGCGCGAGAGTCCCCCTTGTTCTCTATCACTCAACAAGGAAGTGAGAAAGCCAAGCCTTAAATACCATTCCCAATAGTGTTTCCAATACTATGTGGGATTGAGCATTACCAACACTTGTTCCCAATACTATGTGGGATTGAGCCTTAAATAGTGATATTATTTTTGAATGTTTTGCTTAAAATTGTAATAATCGCGATTGATTGTATATTGACTTTTAATTATGACATATTTAATCGTATAATACTAATGCAATTGGTTGCTGATTCAGTTGTTTTAAGGTGTATGATTGTTAATTGTTTCCTGAATAACCACATTGTATTGGAAACAAGTGTTGGTAATGCTCAATCCCACATAGTATTGGAAACACTATTGGGAATGTTATTTAAGGCTTAGCTTTCCTACTTCCTTGTTGAGTGATAGAGAACAAGGGGGACTCTCGCGCGCCGCCGCCGTCGCCGTCCGTCTCGGGTCGGGTCGTGGTCGTGGTCGTGGTCGTGGTCGTGGTCGTGGTCGTGGTAATACGTGTCTTCGACACGTCCGCGCGAATACTATCTTTTTAGAGAAAATTCTTAAGAAATAAATGCAATACCACTAGTCGTTGCAATTTTGGACTATCGCAACGAATTTGCGATTTACATATTCGCATTGCGATAGTCCAAGTTCGCGTTGCGAATCTGGAAACTGATTTGCGATACCGGAGATAGCGTTGCGAATTATTGATCGCATTGCGATTTAGTTGGTCATTTTGACAAATCCAAAAAAAATTGGTTAAAATCGTATATTATAAGGCATTTTTTTGTCACTGAAATTATTTTCTCTTATAACTGCCAGGTACGAAAAAAAATACAATAGCAATATTGTAGAGGGAAGAATATTTAAATTTTAAAAAGAAAAATAAACTTATAAAATTTTTCAAACTAATAATTGAATGACGTGGAATATACGTTACTCTTAAATAAAATTACATAAATAAGAAAGTCACCTTTGAACGTTTACTTGGTTCCATACCGAGATTAAATAATTGAAGAAGTTAAATTTTTTTAAAATGATAATTGATTTTATTAATAAACTGAATTAAAATTACAACACACTCAAAGAGAAAATTGTGGACAATAGTCATCAAAAATTAAACTCAAAGATATAAAGAAAAACGAAATATTTCATTGAAAATGACGTCCAACATCAAAAGAAACCAACAATCTTTATAAAAATTTCTCTTTATCAAACGAGACGTTTTACGTAATGATCAAAGAGTAATAAGTGAACAATTTTTCATTTGAGAGACTGTTTTGCTAAACAATTATGATAATTGATGGTAGAGCTTTAACAGATTATTTGATGTGGCACAACAAATATATAAAATTATAAAAGGTAAACTACACAAATGACCACTAATGTTTGAGTAAGTTTTCATTGTTCTTACTGAAATTTCAAAAGTAACAAGTTGGTCACTAAAACATCAAATAAGTCATTAAACAATAATTTTATATCTAATTTACTCCAAAATTTTTCTAATTTTCAATTTTTTTAAACACCCCCATCACCTTCTTTATACTCACGTGTACCGCCCTTCATGCAACACCACCTGAAGGCGGCTTGTTGGTCGTACGATGAAACCGTTACCTTACTTCAAAAGCCATTTTCCCTCTCGTCAATCACCTCTTTTATTCAAAATACAGTAAAGTTAGAATCCCATTGAACACATTCGCATGTAAGCTTCTTTCTTCTCCATTTTGTTACTGTAATCAAGATCTGATTAGTTTCTGATACTGGGTTTTCAAAAACAAGCAAAACCCATGAAGTCACCCTGGTGTGTTCGGGATATTACGCATGAATGCATGATCTGTCATGTAAGAGACTTGAGTATCTCTTAAAATTCTTCACCAAAATGAAAACCATCTTAGCCTGACACTTTAATGAGAATATAATATGAACAAATATTTGATGATGATTGAAAATTTCAAAGACAGCCTTCTGAAGCTGTTGTAAGACAATAAGCAAGTCTCCATCTCTAATGTTTCGATATACATAAGCATTCAAAGCAGGTATAGGGAAAGAAAACACTCAATGATTTCATGAATAGTTAAGCTAAACCATCCCTAGAAAAAAATAACACGACTTACCAAATATTTAGTTTTGAATTAAAAAGCAAGATTTTTCATAGAGAAAAAAAATGAAGATTGAAAGTTTTCTGTTTTCAGGTTTGTGAATGGAAGTAACGCCCCCCTACTGTGTTGGTATTGCCCCCTGTTTTGGTGGTAGCACCCCCTGGTTCAGTGGCAAGGGCCCCTGCTTTGGCGGTAGTGGCACCAGCTTTGGCACCCAATCTCGTTGCTGAAACCATGATTGAAGAGTCCAAAGAGAAAATATCGAATTCGAGCTTTAAATCCGACTGTGAGGAGTTAAAAGTTGTGACCAATTTATTACTTTTGAAACTTCAGTGGAGAAAATGAAAATTTACTTAAACATTAGTGACCATTTGTATAGTTTACCTTTTTTAATTTTATATATACATTGTGTTTTATCAGCATTCCATTAAAAGTCTAACGTCAGTTAACCTTCGGTGGTCACATCTTATTTAAATAAAAACGAAAGTGAGCAAAT